ATATCGTGATTTCTGTATGCCTAGAAGTCTTTTCAAATGATTACAGTGCCTCTTGAATTATTTTATTAGCTTAATAAGTGATAAAGACTAGGAGATTAAACATTAACCTGGAATATCTCCGTGTGGTGGATTCTGAATGACTTAATATTCTTTATTGTACTTCCTCATACTGTTTACATTTTCAGTAACAAAGATATTTTATTTTATTGGTTTATTTATTTGCTTATTTTGGTTTTTCAAGAGAGAGTTTCTCTGCAGCTTTGGTGCCTGTCCTGGAACTCCCTCTGTAGACCAGGCTGGCCTCGAACTCACAGAGAGCCACCTGTCTCTGCCTCCTGAGTGCTGGGATTAAAGGTGTGCGCCATCACCTGTCTATATGTGATTTTATAAATAGAAGCTGGAAGTGTTTGGGTGAAACTTCTTCTGCAGAGGTGGCTGTTGCTGCCTTTTTGCACGTTTTCTGTAGTCTAGATGTAGTACACCATCTTTCCCTGTTTTGTCTCCCAGTCCCTAGCACAGCTCTCATAAGGTTTGTTATGAATCTCTGTTGTCGGCTGGACAGACAGAACAAAGCCACGGTTCTGCCTCCCTTCACTTTAGCAGTGCAGCCTGGAAGCAGGAGGAATCTGACCACTAACTGTCCAGCTGCACTGTGAAGACTGCTTAGCAAACTCAGTTATGCCTATTGGGTTATAATTATGTCTGTCAGTGTGGGCTCTGAGCTCTTGTTTTTAAGCGCCCTAAGAATACTTTGCTATGCCTTTATATTTAGCTCTGTTGGAGAAGCAATTAGACGTCCCCACCTCCCCATCTGGTGCAGTGAAGACTAACTCATCTGCGTGGCTTACTTTGTATGAGAGACTTGAAGTCTCTAAGGCATCTGCAATTTGGATGAAGCAGCTAAATCCTATCCTGTTTCTCCCAGATTTTATTCTGGGAATCTGTGTCCCCTTGTTAATTATGAATTTAATTATGCAGAACAGTAATAAAGGGTTGGATAGCCTATCAGAGTGCTCATCTCTGGGGAAGAGAGATTCCGCCTATTTTAAAGCCACCAATTGCCGGGCGATGGTGGCGCACGCCTTTAATCCCAGCACTCGGGAGGCAGAGGCAGGTGGATCTCTGTGAGTTCGAGGCCAGCCTGGTCTACAAGAGCTAGTGCCAGGACAGGCTCCAAAGCTACAGAGAAACCCTGTCTCGGAAAAAAAAAAAAAAAAAAAAAGCCACCAATTGCCCGTAGCTCTTCCTCTAGGGACAGGGCCTTATGAGACTTCTGCCATCCATGCTGAGATTTCAGCCAGTGTTGTCATTGTGGAGGGCTCGTTTAGGTGGACATATTGTTAGGATTTCATGGTGCAACGCCTTGTCATATATAGAAGATGCTACCTCGGAGTAACTATCCTGGTCCTCTGGCTTTCAGTCTTTCTGCTCCTCTTGGTGATGTACCCTGAGCCGCAGGGGTGGGGGTTTGTTGTAGATGGATCAGTTGGGGTTGGGCACTCCATGATCAGTTGTTGAGCACCACTAAATGGATTCAGCAGGATACACACACACACACACACACACACACACACACACACAAAGAAGAGGTTGCAAAATTGAGAGGGATTAAGGGGCCGGGCGATAGTGGTGCATGCCTTTAATCCCAGCATTTCGGAGGCAGAATAAGGGAAACAGAGTTGAAGAGGGACGAGTTTGAAATGGAAATTATGTAAATAGAGCACTCGTGAATGGCATTCTCAAAACAGCAAATGTAAAAAGGTAATAAAGGTCTGAATATTTGACGAAAGCACAGACTGCTCGGAAGGATGACATTTCTAAAAAAATTCATTTCCTTTTCCCTAATAGCATGTCTTTGATGACCTCAGTGGCTCGGTGTCCTTGTCCTGGGTTGGAGACAGCACTGGGGTAAGTAATATTCTAAACTCTTTCAGTCGACCCAGATAATGTAGGTTGGGGCAGATGTACACTAAATATTTTCTAAACGTGTCTTCAGCCTTAGTCACAGAAAATGTGTTTTCAGGACAGACTTTCAGGAAATTGTAGTTGGTTTGGCTTTGCTGTAGAACTGGGAACCAGTTGAAAGCAGTCTTAAGACTACTGTTACCCTGCTTGATAAGTACAGTGGGGGGGTATTAATTAACAGATTAATTAATGACTACATTAGTGCAAGGTACGTGACAGCAATACCAGAAAACGGTGGAAGCCCAGGTTTTGGTTTTGGAACACAGGTTATCAGGGCTAAGGAGATGCTCAATGGTCCATAGCAGCAAAAGACACCTTTTGTCCCTGGGCCCCTTAACATCAAGAGGAGCGAGAAAAGGAAGCAGGGAGTTGCTGTTACCTGAGAAGGGAACCTTTCAAGGAACCTCCACGTAGAAGCAGAAAAGGGGACACAGTGAATCTTGGCATTTTCCCTCCAGTCTGTATTTTTCCTCTGCCCTTTCCCATAGTGTACTGAAGGACTGTGGTATCTGTGGGCCCATGCCAGCTCAACATGCCTTACAACAAATAGGTATAGTGTTGGTGCACATGCCTGTAACCCAGCACTTGGGAGACTGGGGCAGGAGGATCTGGAGTTGAAGGTTAGCCTGGGCTACATAGGAGACCCTATCTTTTTTTTTTTGATTCATACTTTTAAAATATTTATTTATTTATTATGTATACAATATTCTTTCTGCGTGTATGCCTGAAGGCCAGAAGAGGGCACCAGACCTCACTACAGATGGTTGTGAGCTACCATGTGGTTGCTGGGAATTGAACTCAGGACCTTTGGAAGAGCAGGCAATGCTCTTAACCTCTGAGCCATCTCTCCAATCCAGAGACCCTATCTTTAAAAAAATAAAATAAGTGTACCACTGGTCTCTATGTGGAGATGTAGATGCACGGACTTTGGGTCTTTGGTCAGGGCTTGGCATCGCTGGCTCCGTTATCTTGGGGGTAGTGTTCGATATCAAAGCCTACATCAGTGTGAGGTAAATGGGAACAGTACCAGTACAGCTCTGGTTTTGGAGAGCAGGTTGTCATGGCTGAAGAGGTGCTCAGTGGGTGAAGGGTGTGCTGTGCCGGCCTGAGGACCCGGGTTTGGATCCCCAGCACCCACAGAAGAAGCTGCACATGGGTTGGAGAAATGGCTCAGCAGTGAGGAGCACACAGGGCTCTCACAGAGGACCTGCTTCCTGTCCCTAGCAACCATGTCAGTGGGTTCACAACCACCTAGGCCTCCAGCTGCAGGAGGTCCAAGGCCTCTGGCCTCTGAGTACATCTGTGCCCCTGTACCACAACATAGACACACATAAGCACTTAATTTAAAATGAAAATTGGAAAGAAATGGCTGGATGTGGTCACACACGCTTATAATCCTACTACCAGTGAGGCAGAGGCAGGAAGACCCCAGAAATCGCTGACTAGGTCATATTATCTACTCAGGCAGTGCCAGGTTCAATGAGAAAACCTGTTTCACAAAATTAATATGGAGAGCAACAGAAGGGGGATACATACCCATGTTGACCTGTGGCCTCCACATGCGTACATATGCACACATACATGAACATAGACACATAAACGCTATATATACATAAGCAAAGCAAACTGTTTTTTATAATTACCGTTTCAGCTTTCAGTAGAATGTCCTTAAGTGTATCTCGATTTTTCTCAATTTTGACTTATGCCCTAAGTTCTATGATTTATTCATGGAGCTGAGAAAGTTGATAACTCTAGGTGTTTTTGTTTTGTTTTCAAGCACAGTACCATGTAGCCCCACTAGCCTTAAATTACAGCGTGGTTTAAGTTGGCCTTGAACTCCTGATCCTATGCCTCCACCCCCTCGTGCTGGGATTACAGGTGTGTGTACCCCATGCCTAGCTAAGATTTCTTATCATTATGTGGACTCTTGATACTTTCTAGGTGCCTTACTAATTTATCTAGAACCTTTTCCTCATGCATATTTTTGCATAGAAAAATAATTTTATACAAGATGAATTCCATGAAGAACTAGCAACTCGGAGCAAAAGACACACAGACACGTGACACGGTGGCCCGTGGGAGACCACCCACAGTGTGCTGACCTCTTTTTTTTTTTTTGGTTTTTCGAGACAGGGTTTCTCTGTGGCTTTTGGAGCCTGTCCTGGAACTAGCTCTGTAGACCAGGCTGATCTCGAACTCACAGAGATCTGCCTGCCTCTGCCTCCCGAGTGCTGGGATTAAAGGTGTGCGCCACCATCGCCCGGCTCAGTGTGCTGACCTCTGAGGGCAGAAAAGAGAGTGTATTTTACAGTAATATAAATACAAATTAGATAAATCCTTCCTTTATTATATGTATTTGAGCATTCCTGACTCACAGCTTCAAGTGTAGGCCACAGAATAAGACGGGCACCTCACAAACCCTGGCCTGTGGTCCTTTCTGGTTTTCAGATATGTTACAGTATAGGTTCCAAGGAAGCAGGGCTGGCATCAGTCATTGAAGTACAGTTTAGCGTTGCCATCTATCAACATGTGGTGGCCATGCCTTTCACTTCTTACTGACAGAGTGCTTTTGTTTCTCCCCAGGTTATTCTCGTCCTGACTACTTTCCAGGTGCCACTGGTGATTGTGAGTTTTGGACAGTCCAAGTTATATCGAAGGTGAGATGGATAACATCCAGGGACATTTGACCAAGTAATGCGCTAGGGTCAGAGGCTCCACCTTTTATGGTCACAGTAGTTCAGCAGTTAACTTCGGTTCTAAAATTCCAGCAGACTGGGATGCTTAGCCCACTACTTTTGGATGACAACTTAGCAACCTAAAGAAAATGAGGAGAAATTTAACTTGAAGGCAATGAGTTGACCTTCCAGAGGGGTGGAATAAGGCAAGTTGAAGGGAGAGTCTGCAGGTGTGCATGTCCACCTTAATCCCATGGGTTTTTACTGGCAGCAAGGCAGTATGGACTTTCTGCATCTATATGATATCTCTCTCTATATATATATCACATTATATACGTTATATATATCTATATACATGTCTTTATCTAATATTTTGACATCTAAACAGGTTGTTTCTATACAAGATAAGATGTTTATTTCTGGGGGTTGGAGAGATGGCTCAGTGGTTAAGAGCACTGCCTGCTCTTCCAAAGGTCGAGTTCAATTCCCAGCAACCACATTGTAGCTCACAACCATCTGTAATGAGGTCTGGTGCCCTCTTCTGGCCTGCAGACATACACACAGACAGAATACTGTAGACATAATAAATACATTTTTTTAAAAAGATCATTTCTGCATAAGAAGGAACTGCTTTGAACATCGTGCTCCCTCAGTTTAGCTCATTACTGCAGTTCATACTAGATGAGGGTGAAAACATTATCTGTGACATCCGCACATCTTCTGCAGCTTACATAGTAGGCTCTCTTTCTCAGCAGGATCGAGAGCAGCTAGCACTCCCAAATAAGTGATTATCGTCTTTTCATGTGTGTCAGCCCGTCTCCTCCTAAGGAACTTAAATGAATCACAAAGTCCCAGCAGCCATTCGCAGAAACACCACAAGATCCAGAAGCTTCTGGGAGCCCTGCGAGGGTCTCAGCTTTCTTCATTGACTGTTCCACAGCTGGTCATGACCCAGGTGCAGGGAACTGAGGTTGACGCTCTGCAATGCATCAGCCCAACTTCCCTCTCCCAGAAGGTGTGACCTTTGACTTCTGCCCAGCGGCCTGAAGCCAGAGTTTTCTATTCAGCATGGCATTGTAAAATAAGCAAATACTCCTTTAGGCCAGGAAGAAGTCACATCTTGGAATTGCCAGAAACTCCATGAAGGTTGGACACTGCATTCACTGGGGACTCTCTAGTCCATGGAATTGACAGGCATAAATGTTAGATGAGTGAGTGAATGAATGAATGAATGAACGCCTTGACTGCTGTCGAGTTTCTATACTGAGAACTTTGTTTCTGATAGATTAGCCGTGTACTGTAGAGTCTGGCTGTAAAAAGGGCCCACAGCACACGCCTTTGTTTCTGAAATTATAACAATTGCAACTAGATGAAAAGTCTTCAGTTTGGGGAGGAAAAGGTATATTTAAAACTCTACATTGATTTTAGTAGCTGTTTCTAAGATTTAAGAAGCCTCGCTGTAACGAATCTCCCTCAGGACAGTTTACCGCCTCAGCTTATCTTTCTCTGTAGAAGTGATATCGTATTAGAAAGCGTTTGGAAATCTAAAGAGAAGAGCAGCTCACTACAGCCGAGTGCCATCTTAGTTTATTTACAGACTATTATCTTGATTTTCCCCTTCAGGGCTATATCTATCGTGCGACTGTATTGTCTTGGGATGCAACAAAGAAAAGCAAAAGACTGCCAAGTTTGAGTTGGCAAACAGGCTGAAGGTTGAATCTCCACACTGTCATTTGCAAATAGAATAAACTTGAACAAGTCACATGGCCTCCTAAGCCCTTTCTGTTACCTATTAAAGGAGGACAATGACAGTGTTCACCTCAGGGTCACTGTGAGAACTCTGTAATGCCTGGCATGGAGCGGGCGAGGGCTTGGGCTAGTGACCGCAGGTGGCATGTAGCCAGCCACTGGCATGGCTGCACTGGTTGTCAGAGGGAAAGTCTCCCATAATGGTTCCTCCCTTACTTCTGTTAGCGCAGAAGCCACTGTCTGAAGGCCAGCATTGCTAAGTCCTGACTTCACAGGCTCTTCTCATTCCTATTAGGAACTGCCCATAGGTCTCCTATGCTGGTCACTCTGGTTTTTGTGACTAATGTTCCTATGCCGCACCTCCCTATCTGTGTCACGGGATGCGCGGTCCCAGTTCTTTCTGTAGCAGCAAATGGAAACCCCGTCTCCGACTGTTGATGGCCGCATATTTTGAAGGCTTTTTTATTGAACGCCTCCCTTTCTACGTCGGGTTATCTTCCATACATAATGCTCCAGTCGGTTTTCTTTTCTGCCATATGACTTCTTTTTGTTTGTGTTTGCTTTGTTTACCACATTGTTCTTACACCGTGTGGCTGGAGTGGGACCTTGGAGTCCCAGCAGCAGAGCCATCAGCCCTTTCCTTCTGGGTGATGTGCTTCCCGGCCACAGGGCCACAGCCACTGCAGGCTGACTCAGGCCTTTCACCTGGCAGAAGCCCCTTTTCTGCTAACAGAGAGCAGCCCCGCTTGTTTGTGATACGGTGTCATGTTACCAAGGCTCTTTCCAATATTGCTGCCATAGTCTTGGCCAGTCACTCTGAATATTCATGCTCTCTCCTCGCTGTGAGGTGAAATCGGATTCTGTCCGCCCTCCCAGAGTTTAGGAGGAAACTGTTAATATGCCCTGCTGCCTTTCCCACTGGGCTGGCCTGGCCTGAGATGACTTTTGTTGAGCAGCCAAAGGGCACCTGTTGCTTCAGGAATGGAAAAGGGAGGGGCCGTCTACTCAGAAGAGATTCTGAATGTTTCAGTTGCCCAATCAGAACTAAGACTAGAGCTGGCAGAATCTGCTCTAGCGACTCCTCCACTCCTCGGTTTTCCACCGTTTTGATGACTATAGTTTGTTTATTGATTTGCCTTTGTTCAGGAAAGCATTTGGTAGCAAATCATGGTATAGGGAAATATGTGCCTCCTGCTGGGTAGAGTTAGGCGTGAAGGCTCACCAGAAACACAGGAAGTGGTCTCTGCTGCCTCCATAGCCTTAGAGAAAGGATACCTGAGGAGGAATTCTTGAAGGAATAGGAGATCATAAGTTATAAGAGCAACGAATCATCAGGCCCATTGATTATTATTATGTTATATATAATATATATTAATATCATATATATATAATATTAATACATTGTCTTTTGATTGTATTCACTCCCCTCCCCCACCTCCTTCCAGATCCATACTCACCCACACACACCCTCACCCTGCCTTCCATACCCACCCAACTTTGTGTTCTCATTTAAAAAAAAAAAAAAAAAAGACCATCTACCTGGAGCATATTTGGCCTATTCTTAGAGAAAATTAGCTTCCTCTCTTCCAACAGCTATCAGTTACCAATAGCTCCTCAGCTAGGGACGGGCCCACATGACCAACTCCACCCTCAGCTAGGGCTGCATGACCAACTCCACCCTCTATGCTAGGGACAGGGCCTCATGATCACCACCCTCAGCTAGGGCTGCATGGCCACCACCACCCTCTGCTAGGGACGGAGCTGCCTGACTGACTCCACTCTGTGTCCACTGCAGGTCTTGTGCATGTTGGGCCAAGGTGTGTTTCTTTGGCTCACTCTTTAACCCTACCATATGAATGGACTGTGGATTTTCTGCTTAAGTTCTTAATCCTTAAATTCTGCTTCTTTCCTTCTTAAGGATTCTATGTTAAGTCCTCTCTCTCCCTTTGCACCTTGCTATCAGCTGTCAGGAAGCCAGGCTTAGCAAGCTTCGGCTGTATTTCCAGTCCGTTCTCACTAGTAACTGCCACCTTTTGTACAACAGTTCTTCATTAACACAACTCAGCCCAGGCTTTGCCACGGCAGAAGACAGCCTTCCCTTTTCCACCATCCAGTAACACACGCCTCGTTTCTGGGACCTGATCCTGGTGGCTTTCTGTCCATGGTTTACGTTCTGTCGAGTATAGAGCATTCTAGAGTGTTAACTCTATTTTCTTTCTGGACCTTCAATAGAATCACTCAGAGAATCGTACTCACAGCAGTCCAGGTTTTCCCAGAAGGCACCTCAAACTATCCAGTCTCTATCTCTTTGACTTATTTTCCTGTGATTGAATCACTACCACAGATCTCAACATGAAAGCAGCGCGGCTGATGACTAATTAAAACCTAAGTCCAGTTCTGTAGTTTCCCCGGATTGGAAGTGTTTACGTGGCTCATGGCTGGTGCTTATTTCTCATGCATTCTTTATTTGCAATCTGCCCATGTACTTAAATTGATTTGTAATTTCAAATTCAGTACTCAGGCTGCATCTGTGACTGTTTGTAGACATAAGCAAAAAAACAAAACAAAACCCCACCCTGGTCATTTGTTTCCAGCTGAAGTTAACAGCATGGTGGTTGGAGGAAGACTAGAGCTCAGTGTAGGGTGCTTGTCTAGATATGCAAACTCCTCCCCCGCAAACAACCACCACCACCACCACCACTACGGAAACCCCAACAAGTAATGCTCTGCCCTGGTGTCCGCTTTCACACTATAAACAAGGATCCCTTCACAGGGGCAAGGTGCTAGTTCTTGTGCTTTTTGCTGGCACTTTGCTGTTGCTCTCCGTGTATATTGTTGATGCGCTGTTGTTCCTAAACAGAAGGAAACTTAGAAGCGTCCCAAGCAGACACTTGTTAGTGCGTGTTAGGTAAAACTTGACTTGAGTAAGAGTTGTTGGCCTAAATTCAAATTGGCGAAGCGGCAACACATTTTAAATCAGCTATTTTTAAACAGAAACACAGCGAAGCAAGGTTATATACTGATCGGTTGGTGAATTTATGACCAGATAGTCACAAAAAACTCACACAGTATTTCCTGTAGGAGCAGTGACTCAGCATTTGCTGGGTCAGTTTTTGTTTTTGTTTGGTTTTGCCTTTTTTTTTTTTTCTCAGAAACCCTGGCTGACCTCAACCTTGCTCTGCAGGCCAGGTTGTCTCAAACCCGTAGAGATCTGCCTGCCTCTGCCTCCTGAG